GAAGACTAATGCAAAGTATTTGAATTGTCATTTTACAATGCAGGGTTGTATAATGAAATTCAGGTTGTAGTTTCCCTTCATGCTAAAACAAAAACATTATTTTACATAACGGAGCCCGGAGGATGAATTAAGGAGTCTCACAGTATTTTTATGTAAAGCACGTTTGAGTTCAGCCTTTTGCTGCAAACACAGCTTGTTTCTGTGAACGAGACAATTCCATTGATCCGTCTTTTTTTGGAATAGTCAGCATGTTTAGGAATTCAGGAATGCATCACTCAGAGACACAAAAATGTCCCACTATTGTCTGCTGAAGTCAACACATTGTCTCACGCTTCCCGCTGCCTCATATTGTTGAGCTCCCAACTGTTTTCCTGTGTTGTTTTACATGATGCATCACATTAATTCTGCGTTATTGAAATTAACCTCGAGTCCCGCTGCCGGTCGCTTTGCATATATGTTAATGTCCAGTGTAAAGGTCACTCATTTTACTTTTTAATTCCACTTAAATCAGCTTATTTAAAGCAGAGTTAGAGGGATTGTGTAAGCCTGGAAAACACTGAGGCAATTATTGTGCAGGTTGTCATGGAGAGAGTGCCAGTTTGAGTGTGACAAGAACGGCCACATGCTCTCACACTTGGCGCGTCTTATAAAACGATCCACAAAGGACACGCAGCCACCGGCGAGCCAGAGATGAAAATTAAACTCGTTAAAATTGTGAAACATGAGGACTGTTTGCCTCACAGCTTGTATTTGACATCGTCGTCACAAAGACACAGCTCCCCGCTGTCCCCATCACAGCGGCCCCGGCCTCCTCAACAATGCACCAGTGAACGATGTGATTACCTGATTAGATGCTGACATTTGATGCTGAAGTGCACTCCTCTGAGTCAGGTGCTTTGTCTGTGTAATTGTTCATGTAAAAAAAAAAACAGATTGAGTGCAGCAATGTTCTCATTTGGGGGCTCAGTTCTTCTGTGTCGGTACATAAATGGGACGAGCTGATAACTTTAAGACTTTCTCTTTTTATAGCGAACAGCTGTGCAAAATACCAGCTTGCTGATTCTGGCTCTTAACACGTACATATAAGAAAATTGTTGTTTTTGTGTCACTGAAAACGACAGTTGTTTGTTAAGACGCCTAAAACAGGGGTAAAGGCTGAATGTTAAAAAAACAACTTAAAAATTCTTTATATTTTTTGTATTATCATAAAGTAACATCTTCTTAGTATTGGTAACATATGGCAGATCAACAGATCAGTATCACGTACTGTAAAAAGTATATTGCTATAACAAGATGTTTTTCAAGTTATATTTTCACATTAATGTGAAACATTTTATGTTGTAACAATCGAGTTACAACTTGAAACGTTTATTGCTATAACAAGATATTTTTACAGAGTTTAGCAAGATTTCAATCAGAGTTGGTGGTTATTTGGTTACTGTCAATCAAAAGTGATAAAACCACATCCACAAAGTCCTGATTAACTGAGTTTTTGTGTATTAAACTCGAATGAATAACACTTAAAGACATATGTTTTTTAAAGGTGATTGTCCCTTTTGTAGCCAAGTTTAATGTTACAGAGAAATACTCCAAGGACGTGAGATTTAATACATTAATATATCAGCTAACAGCTGTTCTCTGTGTAAAGATACAGAAGTCCCCACATGGTGTCTGCCCTCCTCGCCTTGCCCTGTGTTGTATCGCAGCCTCTCCTGTGGTTTGTTTCCATTAGCCGGTGCTGCTCGGACCCTGAAACTGCTTGTTATTAATAATCTAACGTCATTAGGAGTTATATTCCACCAACACCAAGAGTTGGTGATTGTTGCAAACCCAATAACCAGCAGATCGGTTTAATGAGTTTTATTTAGTTTCCTGTCCCCCTTTGAATGACCCGTTACGATGGTTAAAAGGTAAAATTAATGTTTTTGTCTGCTGGAATTTTGGTGGGAGAGCTGACTCAGTGCACATTAGTTTGTTTGTGGTGAAACTAAAGGTCTATCTCTGTAGGGATCCTTTCCATAATGCTGTCAGACACTGACAATAACAATCTGAGTCTGTCAGTAAAAACAACACATTTTATTGGACATACTAGACAAAATAAGGATTAACATTAGCTTACGTTGCAACCAATGGAGCCATTTTCACAAATAATTTCACATTTAACTGGTTTTAGTTTACTTCTGTCCGAATGTTTTGGTCTGACATGGTCTATAGTGTCACATCCAGTATATTTCATATATAACCTTTAAGATTTTAAGTAAAAGTTGTTTTTTAAACCTTTTATGTAGAAGAGTAAACCAGGGTTGTTTTTCTCTTCCATTTGTGCTGTTTAATAGTGATCCATCAGGCTGAGCATACCCAGCCCGTATCGACCACCAGCTCCGTTCATCAGGCCTGATTTATCAGATTCACATCCAGCCTCACAACAACATTGATTTTACTGTGCTATTTGGAATTTGCTGTGCCCCTGTTCTTTCAGCACGGCACAAATGACGTCCACACAGTAGCTTTCCATGTGCTGTGCCTCAGCTTTCACCCCAGGACAGATACAATGAGTATCTCCAAAGTTATATCTCTACATCTCCAGACTCCAAACTGTAAAAGTTTAAGAAAACTCCTAATTGAAATAATTAAACTTTCTTCTTGAGAGCTTTTACATTTTAATTTTAAAAAGTTCTGTTAACTTCTAATATTTTTGTTTAAAATAATTTACTTTTTTCTTCAAAAGAATGAGCTGTGATCCTAATTCTTCCTTATTAAGCTACTTAAAAATGAAATAGTTGCAATTAAAGATATTCAATTATATATATCAATCAACATATGCATTTTATATATTAAATTATGAAATGCAGAATTTTTTTCAAGTTTTTCTAACGAAGAAAACTAAATTATCATTATTATTATTAGCTTAACTTAAGAGTTTGACTTGAGCCCTGAAATTCTGAGGTTTCTCAACTTTTTTACAGTGAGGAACTTATTTCATAAAAGAACCAAACTCAGATGTAAAAACTGGTTCTGTGGTTCAGCTGGAGGTTAAATCTCTGAGCTCTGAGGCTCCGAAGTAACCCCTGCTGGACATTCCCGAGCAGGCTGAGTCACGGTTGGTGACTCCCCGCTCTCGCTGACCTCGCGATGGACGCTTCAGGTTGCTGAGTTGAGAGCAGGAGGTGTGAGGGCGGACAGGAAGGAGGTTGGATATGAGGAGGATGTGAAGCATTTAAGCAAAGTGAGGAGATCGTGTATCGTCCTTGAGTGGGTGTCTCCTGTCGACTAGCCCAGTTTCGTGTGTGTGTGTTGTGTGTGTGTGTGGGTTAAAATTAGTACAGCTGATGTGTTTATTATATGGGACACCAGCAGTGCATTAACGGGTGTGAAATGTGTGATGAGAATCTTTTATTTTCAGAAACCTAATGAAGAGAATGAAGGACAGCAGGGTTGAGTTTGCATTCTGCAGTTTGTTATCATCCACGCACACAAATGTGACTACAGCGAGAGTTTCTGGCTCATTACTCGTTCGGTGGCGTGCGTCCTTATCGGAGAGCCGAATCAGCCGGCGTTTTTCCAAAACAAATTCACAATTTACATGAAGACATAAAGCACAAAAGTTGTAATTGTTTGGTTTATTTTATCCTGCGTTCACAAGACGGTGACGAGTCCCGCCGACCGCGGGATAATAATAAAGTCCATAATACAGACAGAGAATTGTATAAAAAGTTCCCTAAACAGGAAATA